GGGTCTGAGTCTAGAGCTTCTAGAGCTGAATTTGCAAGTAGGTTCCTTGCTTTGAATTGTTCTGGGTTAAGCACAACGGATTCTACTAAGCTGTGAGTTTGCATATTCTTGGGGTTTGAAATTCAGTTGATGAAATTATAGTCGTGGTTTCTTGTCGCCTCTGGGAAATTAGGGAGGTAGGGCTCAGGAGTCAGTCCTGACTCTGAATTCTGGCCCCACCACCTGTCAGCTGTGTGACTGTGTTCAAGTTACTTAACCTCTCTGAGCCTAGATTTTCTCATCTGTACATTAGGGATATAAATGCCTTTACTTTAGAGTAAGTGTAATAATGCAGGTGTAGTGCTGTTGTAAAGATTAAGCAAAATGGTGCAGGTATAATGCTTAGGACATAGTAAGCATCAAAGTTAATAGCTAGTAATAAAAAAACAACTCCCCCAAAAGATCATTTTTTAGGAGCTTTAGAGTGGAAACAGACTAGATGAAATTTCTAGGAAATCATTTTTTCTTTTTATAACCATCCAGGCATGAGAAAAGATAATTATAATTTTTCAATTTGCGATAGTTACCTTACCATAGCTTGTTAAGATTTTGGTGTCCTTTCCCCACATTTGGTTGATGCATATATTTTTAAATCTATTTCAAAGATTGTACTAGCTTTTAACTAAGTGATAATAAATATGTCCAGGCTTATAATTATTATGGTGACCAAATTAGGCATATTATATTTCTGATTTGAAGCAGAAAGACAAAGCAGGGGGCCAAAGCTTTCCTATTCAGTAAATATCTTTTTGAGGTGTACTCACAATTTTCTCAGCCCTCTTAGCTGTGTGTGGAATAAAATGGTTAAGGATTCTGGAGATGTAGATGCCATTTGCCAAGAATGGCTTTACATCTTGGAGAGGACACATGCTTATCTCAGAGATTTAACTTAAAAGACAGGAGACATGTAACTCTTTATATTGTCTTAACTGCAGCTCTAAAAACAGAAATCATGTTTGGGGATAATTGACCAGCTAACTCTCTTGATTCAAAAATCCTGAAAGCAAACCAAACTTTTTTTTTTTTTTTTTTTTTTTTTTACAGAAACAGCAGAACAGATCCTTCCAGAAACCACATGGTCTGTTATTATTGTTTTAGGACCAAGTGAAGCTATTTTAGAATCAATATTTAAACATTTTTATGAAGTGAGCCATATGTCAAATAAAACAGGACAAAAGGAATAGAATTGTGAAGAAGAAAACACAGAATATCTGTTTATGGTGTCACTTTGTATGTCTATTTCCCTCTAGGCGAAGTTTTTCTTATGATGGTTGATGTGATTCCTTTGATTGCGTTGTCAGGACCACTAGAACAGGTAAGTAATAGATGATTTTGATTGTTACTTTACCCATATGCTATGTCTTCTCCCATAAATACCTATTCATTTGTGTAGTTATCAAAGTAATTGAGTAACATCAGTGAAAGTCTGAGCAATGGAAAGAAAAGAACAAAACAAAAAAATCCACTCAACCCCCTAGCACAGCACTGGTGTTTCTGTGTCAATGCTTCCCTTTTGTCCAAGACTCACAGGATTTGCTGCACACACCAGGTAATCAAGTTGGTTGAGTTTACCTCCCGCCTCCCTCTTTACCAGTTGTTTGACCTTGGCCAAATTGCTTCAAATCTCTGCAGATCAGTTTCTCACCTGTAGTTGGAAGGTGATAATAAGAGTAACTCTGTCATGGTTAGTGTGACTCAGTGCCTCACCTGTATGATGGAGAAGATAAAAAAATAACTCTCTGTCTTGATTAGTGTGAAAATAAGCTGAAATAGTGATCACTTAATAAATGATAGTTAATGGCATCATTACCAGAAGTTAGTGTTGGTTTTCTCTCTCCAAGAAAACTGAAGATCAGCCGAGTTAAATGGCATTCACACTCCTGGCTGCTGGTGCAGTGGTGTTCTTTAAGACAAATGAGAAATGGTACACTTCTGCTTCTCAAGAGGGTTAAAACTTTTAAGGCACAAGAAGTCATTGCCTCCTGATGTGATGCAGCAGGGAGTACACAGTGTCACCTGTGACTTAACCTTCTTGGCAAAAGTGTTTGTTTTTTTTTTTAAAGATTTATTTATTTATACAAGCACTGGGTACAGTCAGAAGCGCGGGAGGGTGAGAGAATTCACCAGAGCCAGAGCGGGGAGCAGAGCAGGCAGAAGGACCGAAGTACACTGCTGAGGGGAGCAGCGGGCGGCAGGAGAGGTCTGCGCGCCATGCGGGACCCTCCTCCAGTGGCTGGGGAGCAGCCGGGGATCGAACCGGCGCTGCAGAGGCTGCGGGCAGCTTTGCAACCCAGCGCTCAACCCCTGCGCCACCGGGGAGACCCTTGGCAAAAATGTTTAACTGGAATGAATCACACTTTTCTCTGAAGCTTCAAATTTATAGGACAGGGAAGGGATAGAGAGGTCATGTTAAATTTCCATGAAGAAAAGTAATCAAGCAAATCTAGAATGTATGATGTGCTGTGGGAGAAACTGGTCATGTCTTTTCAACAAGTCAATGCCACAATAAAAGAAAGGCAGGAAAGGTGAAACAGTTGGGGGGATTGTTATAGATTAAAAGAGTCAAGAAAAAAAAAAGCATTGTTCATAGTCTTTATAGAGTACTGATTTGAACTTAAAAGCAGAGAACTGAATTTGTACAGAATATTTAGACAACACTAGGGAACTATTGCTAATCTTGCCAGATGTAATAATGGTTTGTGGTTATATTTTGAAAAAGCACATTGAAGAATTTAGGAATATATTGTCTTGATGTCTGTAATTTACCTAAAATGATGTAACCCCCCCAAAAGTGAAAAATATTATCAATTCTTTAATGTAGGTAGTAGGCAAGATATATGGGACCCTGGTGCCATTTTTTCTATGTTTAGGAATGTTAGAAATTTTTCATAATCAGTAATAACAAAGACCTTCCAGGAAGTAGAAGCTGTGCAGTAAGTTTGCTCCAGAGATGGCCTAGCGCAGTACCATGTCCAAACATCCACTCAGTGATAGGGATTCACAGCACATCTCCCCTTCCTCATTTCACAAAAGCAGGAATTTCATGTATATTTCATGAGGAGAGGACACAAAAATCCTGCATTAAAAACAAAGCAAAACAGAGACACCCTATACACCTAAGGAAAACTTCTCCAGCCATTCTTATAGAGGACCAAACCTAAAGCATCTGGTTTGTGGATTGCATAGCATTTACATGTGCAATAAATAAACAATGGGATGGTAACAATAATAATGTGTATTTATGATATAAACACTTTGGAACTCCAAGCAATTTTTTTAAAGATTCATTTATTTATGCATACAAGAATTGGGGTACAGACCAGAGGTGGGGGGAGGTGAGAGGATTCACTAGAGATAGAGTGAGGAACAGAGCAGGTGGATCAATTGAAATACACTGCTGGGCCTCCCCAGTGGCGCAGTGGTTGAGCGCTGGGTTGCGAAGCTGCCCGCAGCCTCTGCAGTGCCAGTTCGATCCCCGGCTGCTCCCCGGCCACCGGAGGAGGGTCCCACATGGCGTGCAGACCTCTCCTGTCGCCCGCTGCTCCCCTCAGCAGTGTACTTCGGTCCTTCTGCCTGTTCTGCTCCCCACTCTGGCTCTGGTGAATTCTCTCACCCTCCCGCGCTTCTGACTGTACCCAGTGCATGTATAAACAAAACAAACAAACAAATAAATGAATAAATAAAACATGCCTCTAAAAAAAAAAAAAAAAGAAATACACTGCTGAGGGGAGCAGCAGGTAAGACAGGAGAGGTCTGGTGGGCCATTTGGGTAGCTCCCTGATCAGGGATCGAACTCATGCTGCATTGGCTGCTGATAGCTTCATAGGTTGCATCTTAACCCCTTGCACCACCCGGGAGCTCCATCCAAGCAATTTCTAAGATGAGGATGGTTGATTTTGGTAAAGATTGATTTCTAGGGGCAGAGCTAAGTGAATTCTATAGAATTTCAGTCCCCTATTCCAGGCTCTGCTCTAAGTCTCTCATTTACAAATGAGAAAGTTTGAGGAGAATAAATTTTGCACCTCCAAGTTCATAAAATCTTTATTTTACTTTCAAGCCAAGTTCAAGGAAAATCACAAGTTTTCATTTCATTCTCTAACAGTTTCCAAAAATAACATCTTAAATATATACTTCTTAGACCAACCCACCACCCCAAGGATTTATTTTAAGCTAAGACACAACTAGAACTAAATAAACTCTACATATTGAAATGTAAATCTCAGTGAGAAAGGGTCCTTTTAATCTCACTGCCTATATCACTCAAGACACATAGATACCAAGGAGTGACCGAGAGTAGTGGATAACTGGCTTTATTATTATTTTTTCACTATTTGAGGCCTGGTAATGTGGATCTCTATATAATTATATGTAAAGATCTACTATCAGAGAAAAGTTCTGGCTCTTAATTCCTCACATAATAAAACTCTAGAACTCTAAGGACAAGTATTTCCCCAAATCATCCTGTTCTAAGTCTGTCTTCTACATTGGACATAAGAAGATGACTAGCTCATAGATATTGCAGAAAATTACTTTTTGAAACATAAAGTGCTGATTATGATAGTTTTATTGCTTTTGTGAATCCAATGTGCAAATCTTATAGGGGTTAGTAAGTATGTTAAAGAGCTCAAATATTTTCACCAACTTTCCACACTCATCTATTTCATGACTGACAAATTTCCCAGAGCATTTCCTTGTATTTTAACTTCTTTGAAAATTCCAGCTTGCCCACAGCCTGTCTTCTTTTAGATATCTTGATTTAACACTTTTAAGAGGCTAGACTAACTTTCTATCTAAAGAAAAAGAGAATTAATTCCATGTAATAGACACAAATCCTTTGAAACGATCCTTCACCTGACAGTTTTGCAAACAGTTTAAGGAGAAGCATTACATACTTGAGCCATTCTGACTCATTCACTTACAGGGAACATATCTGGGCAAAACCCAGATGTTGTCTGACTTACCTGTTTGTTCATGCTCTTTCAGAAGCTCTTGCCACTCGAACAATCAATCAACAGGTGGCTGGTTACTCAGTCCTCGGCATGAAGTTGGCCTTAAACTGGAACTGGAACACAGCAGGGTCCTCCCCTGCCGTTACTTACAATTTCTTAGTCGACAGAGAACAACACAAAATAGTCCATAAGTGAGGTTTGGCTGCAAGTGCTCTTCAATTTATTAACTCTGGAACAGCCGAAGAAAGTCTGAGGTCATTGAATCAAGTCTCGAAAAATACATTAGGCCAAGATGATGTGTCAGTCAGCTGCCGATAGCTGCTATTTATTAGGCACTGAAGCCATGCCAGGCACTGGGCTAAGCATTTTTTAGACATTTCTCGTTTAACCTTTGAAAAATGTTAGGAATCCCAGCTTCATAGAAGGAACCACAAAGATTCAGCAAGTTTAAGAACTTTCCCAAGGTCACTGCTAGCAGGAGGCAATGAGAGTAGGGAAGTAGCTTGCTTGTTCTCTCCGCTGCCCACACTGTGCTCCTCCCTAAGCTGGAGGATGGGGAAGAACAAGGCACTGGGAAAAGGAAGCAAGGATAGCCCCCAACTTTCAGGCCCTCATAGGGGAAGGCCTTCTGGGGAAGCCACAGGTGATGTGTATAATTTTTTTTTTTAAATATTTATTTATTTATATAAGCACTGGGTACAGTCAGAAGCACAGGAGGGTGAGAGAATTCACCAGAGCAGAGCGGGGAACAGAACAGGCAGACTGATGAAGAAATACACTGCTGACGGGAGTAGCGGGCTTGGCAGGAGAGGTCTGTCGTGCCATGTGGGACCCTCGCTGGTGGCCGGGGATCGAACCGGCGCTGCAGAGGCTGCGGGCAGCTTCGCAGCCCAGTGCTCAACAACTGCACCACCAGGGGAGGCCCGATGTGTACAATCTTAATCAGCAAACCAAAGTGGCCATTCCCCCTACCATACACACACACACACACACACTGTCCCCATTTTGTCTTTCTTCTTCATCAAGATTTAAAAAAACCTCGAGGTGACTGAAAGTCAGGCAGGAAGAGGGGATTAAAGGAAACTTTGCTTCCATCCTCACAATCACATTGGGAAAATATCTATCCCCACTTGCTGTGAGATTTAGGACAGCTTACAGTTCAGTGGGTGGAACTCAGGAAGTAAGAGGGGGTGTCTGTGTGGGTGTGAGTCTGAGTGGTGAATCTATGCCCATTCTCAGTACCCACTGCTGAGGAGCTATGGAACACTTGGACACAGCCAGCTCCCAGAGAGCCGCACAGAGTAGACAGAACAAGAGCTGGCTCGTCTCCCTCTCCCTGGAGGTTACCTCTGGCTTCTGTAGTTCCTGGCCGCAGCCTCATGTTTGAAGTGTGGAGATGTGGATTCCACACTTCCCCAGAATCCACTTGGATTCCTTTAAGGGAAGAGTCTTGGTGCTACTGCTAACTAGTTGTCTGACCTCAGAACACTCATCTTGCTTCTTTGTTTTTTTTTTTTTAAACTTTTTTTTTTTTATTATTATTTATTTATTTATTTATACAAGCACTGGGTACAGTCAGAAGCGCGGGAGGGTGAGAGAATTCACCAGAGCCAGAGCGGGGAGCAGAGCAGGCAGAAGGACCGAAGTACACTGCTGAGGGGAGCAGCGGGCGGCAGGAGAGGTCTGCGCACCATGTGGGACCCTCCTCCGGTGGCCGGGGAGCAGCCGGGGATCAAACCGGCGCTGCAGAGGCTGCGGGCAGCTTCGCAACCCAGCGCTCAACCGCTGCGCCACTGGGGAGGCCCTCATCTTGCTTCTTTGGATCTTAGCCGCCTCATCTGTCAATAGAACAGGGTACCTCTGGTGATGTCTAAGAGCTCTTCCAATTTGGAATTGGGTAACTTTGCTGTCAAGGCTGGGATTCCTTTCCATGATGGGGGATGGGGAGTCACTTCAGGGCTCACCCTAGGGTCACTCATGCTTCCTCTGGGACAGCAACACAGACCCCTCATGTCCCTAGTCAACCACTTGCTGGTATAATGCATGTGGGGATGAAATAACCTCAGAGGAGATGGGCAAAGGAAACATAGAATGACTAAAGGATGGTTTTCATTCCCAACCTTTTAATTGCATGCCTACTAAGTGCCAAGAGCTGTTCTAAAAATGTTCTAAGCAGACAAATTGTCTGCTATCACAAGACTTAAATTCCTGGAGTTTGAGCTTAAACAGTGATTAATTAAAATAAGCATGGAGAATTAGGATTAGGCATTGCTCCCTTCAGCCTAGTCTCTTCGATGGCTTCCTCCTGGTCTCCTTGACTTCTTTCTCTCCTTTCTGAGTTTTCTATCAAACTAATCTTCTTAAAATACCCCTTAGGCTAAAATGCTTCTAATGTTTTCTCCCTGTGCTTTTATCCTGTAAGGAAACCTGGACTTCTTGGCTCTCTGTAGCGTCCCTTTTGCAAACTCCAGGGACCTACTTTTCATCCTTCTATCCACCCCCTCACCTCTCCGAGTTCTTCAACTAAATTAGTCTATTCATGATCCCCTTATCACTGCCTGAGTTTTTTTCTGCTTCCACATTTTTTTGTGTTCTTTAAAGATTTAGAAGTTAGATTTTCTAAATGTACTGAAGTAATGCACACTTACTTTAAGAAGTGAGATACTTAATGAGTGATGTCTCGTTCCCCCTGTTCATTCTTTCTGAAGTAATTACACCCCCCACCAAATTTACACAGGAATACAGGAAAGTCACAGGAATACAGAAAACATCTGTATGCTTTTTACTCTTATTTGCCAAATTGTAACAATTTGGCACATTTGTTTTATTCTCTCTCTTTTCTACACATACATAAATCTTTTTTTTTTCTTCCTGAGCTATTTAAACAGCTTTCAGACATCATGTTTCTTTACTCCTTAATATCTCAGTGTGTATTTCCTAAAAACAAGAATATACTTAGTATAGTTAAAACTTGAGGAAATTGGGCCTCCCCGGTGGCGCAGCGGTTGAGCGCTGGGTTGCGAAGCTGCCCGCAGCCTCTGCAGCGCCAGTTCGATCCCCGGCTGCTCCCCGGCCACCGGAGGAGGGTCCCACATGGCGCGCAGACCTCTCCTGCCGCCCGCTGCTCCCCTCAGCAGTGTACTTCGGTCCTTCTGCCTGCTCTGCTCCCCGCTCTGGCTCTGGTGAATTCTCTCACCCTCCCGCGCTTCTGACTGTACCCAGTGCATGTATAAACAAAACAAACAAAGAAAGAAAGAAAGAAAGAAAGAAAAAAACATGCCTCTCTATATAAAAAAAAAAAAAAAAACTTGAGGAAATTTAATATTGACACAACACTTTGATTTAATCTAACTTCCTTACTATTAGTTTTTTCAACTAACCCAGTTATGTCGTTTATAAAATTTTCTTCCTTCCAGTATAGGATCCGGTCCAGGATCATTTGTTACATTAAGTTCTGATGGTTTTCAGTCTCCTTTCTGGAATCTCTATTTTTCTTTATTTTTTCATGTGCGAAACTTTTTTTTTGAAGAATAAAGGCCAGTGTCTTTCTTTTAGCTTTTATTAATAAAATACATTATACATCTTTTAATAATATTTTGAATCTACCAATGCTTTTCCATGTTCTGTAAAATTTTTTTTTTTTTAGTTTTGCTAAATGCTTTTTTTTTTAATTGAAGTGTCACTGTTTTGTTTTATATACTTACTAGTGTTTTGGCAGTATAGGATCACCCCCTCACGCATAGTCTCCATAGCACTCCTACCACCCAAGCACCCATAGTCCTTCACCACATTTTAATTGTCCTTTCAATATCTGGAAATGCCTCTCCATCTTCCTAATTCCTATTTGTTCTTCTAAACTCAGTCATAATCTCTGGCCCTTGCTGGAGGCCAGGCATACCTCTTAGGCTTGACATCTGCCACAACACCCAGCACTGTGCTTCACATACACAAAACAATCAATAAATATTTGTTGATTAATTGATTGGAGGGTGAGACATGATTACTGGCTGCTGCAAAGACAGCATTTGTCCTGTAGGCTTCGCAAGTCAAGATTGGGATCTCTGCTGCCAACTGCTTCTGAGGTTTGTAATAATTGAGGTAGATAATGGAACCAGGGGCCTCCCTGGTGATGCAGGGGTTAACATCTCAGTGCCATCAAGCTATCACCAGCCAGTGTGACATGAGTTCAATCCCAGGCCTGCCAGGGAGCTACCCACGTGGCTCAGCAGTCCTGTTTGTCTTGCCCACTGCTCCCCTCAGCAGTGCACTTCAGTGGATCCACCTGTTCTGCTCCCCACTCTGTCTCTGGTGAATCCTCTCACTCCCTTGCACCTCCTGCCTACAGCCCAGTTTTTGTATGTGTAAATAAGTAAAATTAAATCTTTAAAAATAAATCTTTTTAAAAAAGAAAAGCTATTGAAACTTAAACTGGACCCGTGACTATAGATTTGCCACACAATAGATCTGTGGGGAAGTTGATACATATTTCTGAAGTTTCAAAATAGATAATTAAGAGTGTGAAATAAAAGTAATTTTCCCTACTATTTCATTGCTGCAAATTTCAGAAACTGAAAAAGTGTTAAGTTTGTGAAACGATTTCAGAGATTAATGAAACAAACTGGTCAAACAGCAAAACAGCAGGCTCCAATTGTAGTCTGTCCTATATTATTAGTGTAGAAGAGGTTGGAGGCTAGTTTGTTTAGTGACCAGGCCCAAAAGAGGCGATGCTAATTTAGAAAGAGGAGAATGCTTTGGTATCCATATCGCAACATCAAACACATCTTTTTTTGCCCTTGCCTGAGAAAGCATTAGACTCTTATCAAGTCTTGGTAAATTTTGAAAATCACATGGTTGTTCAATGCCTCCATGTGGTAGAAAAAAATAATTTAGCTCTGTCCTAGTTTCCTGTGATCGCCACATTCAGGACCAATAAACTCTGACAATGCTTAGGGTCGTTCAAAGGAAACCCTGTTTTTAAATAAAGACCTATGGAAAAATTACCCGACTTGAAGATAAAAGCACCAGATGTCATTAAGTTTCATAAAGCTGATCTTTCTTTGCAAAACTTCCTCATCTTTTTGTATAAGAAATGGGTTTTTCAGGCAAAGGAGCATCATAAGATAAAACAAGTGGACTGAAATCTGCACTGAGACCACCCTTTCAGCAAGGCTTTATAGCAAATCTTTTAAAATTCCACGCCTAAGTTTTTTTTCTTCTGACAGAAAAATGAAAACTTTTCTCTCCTGCATAAGAGGAGTTAAAAAAATCCATGTTAACAAATGTTAATTTGCTTGACAATTCTTTGGATGTAAAATTAGCTAAAGAGAAGGATCTTCTTTAGGAAAGTATTTGAAGTTCAATGTAAGTAACAAGCCCAAAACAGGAGTACTCAAAAGTTATAGACTAGGTGTCTTTCTTTTGAATCAACTGTATCATTTCACCTCTTAGGGATCACTTGGCACCTTGAACTTCAAATGTTTATACTTAAAAGTTCTGGATACCCTATATATATCTTCAGAGTGGAAAAAGAGAATTGGCTTATTCTGAGAATCAGGAATAGGTATTAGTTAAAGCTGAAGGCCACTGCCTCAAAGCAAGCGGAGCTAGTCTGCTAGCACTTGAGCTCTGTGGCTGCCAGTATCTTTTAAATGTAAATTGAGCATTCCTTATCAAAGCAGTCAGGGTATACGTATGCAACTGCAGGCCTAGAAGACCACCACAGAGTTGGGGGGAGGGGCAGAGGTGTATTTTCATGGCTTCCTCCTTGGTTTCTTTGGGATAATATAGCATCAGAAAGTCTTAGCTATTTAAAATATATTCATAAATATACAATAAATGAGTAATGATAATTCTCAGGATGCTTCGACAGTGAGCAGTCATTGGTTCAAATAAATAAAATTAGCGATTCCCTTACTTCCTCCATTTTTCCACTTTCTCAACTGCCTTGACTGTCACTGTGTTCATGATAATCAGAGTTCTGTTATATTTATTTATTTTTTTATTTTAAAGATTTATTTATTTATGCATACAAGAACTGGGGTACAGGCCAGAGGTGCGGGAGGGTGAGAGGATTCACCAGAGACAGAGTGGGAAGCAGAACAGGCAGACTGACTGAAAACACTGCTTAAGAGGAGACAGGCGAGGTCTGCTGCGCCATGTGGGTTATTGCCCTGGTCGGCCGGGATTGAACTTGTGCTGCAGAGGCTGCAGATTGCTTCACAGTGCTGTGCTTAGCCCCTTGTGCTACCAGGTATGCCCCAGTTCTGTTATATTTAGTATATTTTTTCTTCAACAGTGTTGGGACTCTTTCAGATCCCCCAATATTACCAGAACTGACAAAATCATCTGCGGACAGTCTCGACCATAGACACAAATTTGCCACCACTTTACTGCATGGCTTTGAACAAAACAATGGCTTTCTCTGCTTTCATTTCCTCATCTATAACATGAGGACTCAGAACTGAAGGACATCCTAGGCCCCTTCTAATAGATAAAATCCTAATTCCTTGACTCTGTTCCTTAGGAGTTTTCTTATACATGTCATCAATTTAAGTCATGAAGACTCCTTGTCAGGATTGGGGGGGGGATTTTTTTTTTTTAATTTTTTTTTTTAAGATTTATTTATTTATTTTATATAAGCACTGGGTACAGTCAGAAGCGCGGGAGGGTGAAAGAATTCGCCAGAGCCGGGAGCAGAGCAGGCAGAAGGACCGAGAGGTCCTTCAGGAGAGGTCTACAAGCCATGCCGGACCCTCCTCCGGTGGCAGCGAGCAGCCTGTGATTGAACCCGCCATGCGGAGGCTTTGGGCAGCTTCGCAACCCATCGCTCAACTGCTGTGCCACCACCAGGGAGGGGGGGGGGGAATTCTTAATAACTTACTTTGCATAGCAGTTAATAAACCATTTTACTACAGATCCACATTTGGGCCTTTTGACAATCTGCCAGTGAATACAGCACAGGTATTCTTGTGGGGGTTTTTTTGATTGTTTTTTTTTAAGATTTATTTATTTATGCATACAAGAACTGGGGTGTAAGCTAGGGGTGCGGGTGATGGGGGATGAGAGGATTCACCAGAGAGAGTTGGGGAGCAGAACAGGCAGATCCACTGAAATACATTGCTGAGGGGAGCAGTGGGCAAGACAGGAGAGGTCTGCTGTGCCGTGTGGGTTAGCTCCCTGGTCTGTTGGGGCTGGAACTTGTGCTGCAGCGGCTGGCCATAGCTTACTAGCGCTGTCTTTAACCCCTAAGCCACCAGGGAGGCCCGTATTCTTGTTTTTTTTTTTTGTACACAAGGAAATTAAGGTTCAGAGTGGTCTATTCAGTTGTATTTAGGCCTGATAGTTAATTAGTAGGAAAACAAGAGGGTGGCACATGAATTTTTATTTTTTTGACTGAGACAACTATATGTTTAATATAGTCTGACATAAAGATCAGTCTTTTGAGAGCAGTGAATTCTTTTCTAAACATCTTGAGGTCTTTATTCCCCTCTGTAAGTTATTCCCAAACCATAAAGCACTTATCAGGGTTAGAGAGAAGGACTAGGACACAAAAGAGGCCTCATATCCTTCCAGACTCATGGTTGAGAAAGCACTTCCTTAAGGAGACAGAGTCCCAAGATTACATGATATATAGCCCCCAGGACCAGTCCAACCCAAGCATAAACAATGAAATACAAATAGCATGTTCCGATTTAAAAACAAGTATATTATTTTTTTTTTTTTTAAAGATTTATTTTATTTATTTATACAAGCACTGGGTACAGTCAGAAGCATGGGAGTGTGAGAGAATTATTCACCAGAGCCAGAGCAGGGAGTAGAACAGGCAGAAGGACCGAAGTACACTGCTGAGGGGAGCAGTGGGCGGCAGGAGAGGTCTGCGCGCCATGTGGGACCCTCCTCAGGTGGCCAGGGAGCAGCCGGGGATCGAACCGGGTTGCAGAGGCTGCGGGCAGCTTCGCAACCCAGCGCTCAACCGCTGTGCCACCGGGGAGGCCCAAAAAAAAACAAGTATATTATTATAGTTAATATCCAAGCATACTGTTTGTGCAAACCAAAATTAAAGAAAAAAATTAACCTTCTGTCCTAGCCATATCAACAAATCAAACCTTTTATTTAATATTTCCCTGTCATGTCTGCCCGCTCTTGTCTTTATACGGTTATGATCTTTTTTCCTGGTTGTACCCATAGTGTCGATGTGTAAAGTATTAGAAACCCAGATTTTCACAAGAGGAAGTCTCAATTTTAATAACTGTCTTTAGATTCTTTTCTTCATCTCCAATGAGTTAATTTTGTGTTTGCTTATTGTTTGCTCTTGAATTCATACACCCTCCATCAGAAGTACTAAAAGCAAACAACCTGCTTTTAAAGAGTTTTTTCTTTATTTGCTTTCAAATAACATACATTAGGGAATTACTTTCATAGGCTCTATCAGGACGCCTGAAACCAAACACATGTGTGGGCATCTCTTAAAAACCTCTATTCATTTGAGTGGCTGAGGGACATTTCTATCTGGAGATAGGAGGATGGAGGTTGAAGTGATGACAAATACGTTTTTTCCCAGCTTTGGGATTCCTTGATTCGATGACAATCCCTGGTAGGTGCAGGCTTCCTGGTAAGGGTTGAGCAAGAAAACAAGCACAATTACTTTATGAGTCTTGGTAAAGTTGGAGTTTGAAGTCGAGGGTTAGGAGGGGTTTAGGTGGGTGGTAAGAATGCTTGTTTTCCTGGTTACTGATGTGCCTGGGCTTTATTTACATCATGCGCCGTCGGGTGGTAGCTGAAGCCACTGTTGCCATGGAAAAGGACGACAATTTGAAGGAGATAATTTAGAGTGGCCCATGGAAATGTGACTGGGCAGTGTCCTAATGGTACCACACCTTGCAGGTGTGGTCTTAGTGTACTTGGCTAGCACGTCTTTCTTCCGTTTTCTTCGACCGATAAGAACGACAAAGAAGAAATCGTAATGTGATGGCTTAATCTTAAAAAAAAATTAATCTTGGTAAAAATGCTGGATAAGAAAATTCAGAAGAATTACCGCCTAATTATCCCAGAAATATAACTATTTGAATAGCATTTATATTATAGTTGGGGAAAAGTATAGGGCTCCCAGAACTTTTAATTCCATTTTCCCCCCCCCAAAAATTCAAACTTTCTACGTCAACTAAACTGACACCCAAAAATTCTCAATCCAGTCTGATTCAGTAGCATAGGAATTCTTCCCAGTGATTGCTCACATTTGAAGCTTGTTATACACGTTGGTTTTACCTGTCACGAAGTCCTTTGTATCACTTTTTATAAAACCACACCACTTTCTATAAAAAGAGGCCGGAAGAATCTAAAATTTTGAGATTGCACGCGCCCGAGCAAGCAGAAAACTCCTAGTTTGGGATTTTCTCACAGGCGTGCCTACACCGACCTCTGCTCCCAGCAGGTAAACGGCCAGAGGCTGCAGCCCGCGTCAGCCTGAAGGGAAACCCGGCCGCGGGGTTTCTTCTTGCCCCCCTTAAACAGCTCCACTTTTCAGGAGGAGTTCCCGCGGCGTTCCCCAGTCCAAAGTCCTTGTCCCCAGATGACCATCTTTTCCACCCATCTGCCAGCACCCCCCCTTTGCCAAAACCCTCACTGGAAAGAACTTCCTCTCGTGACCCCCCCCAATTCCATGCCCTTCGCGCCTCAGCGACTCCCCCTCTCCGACCGGCTTCCCCTCCTCAGCCCAGGACCCGGGTCTCAAAACCACTGAGGAGAAAATTCACACCCGTCGCCCCCTTCCCGGCGTCCCGAGGCGGCGCTGGAGTGGCGGGGGGGGGGGGGGAGCAGGGTTCCCCGGGGTCCCCAGAGTCCCGCCCGCGCCCCGCTCCGAGGTGTGCGGGGGGAGGGGCGCGGGGAGGGTGGGCCCGGCGCGGGGGAGGGGCGCGGGCCGGGGGGAGGCGGAGGCGTGTGGAGCGTGTGTGGCTGGGGGAAGCCATTGCCTGTTTAATAGTTGCTGTTGCTGCACTTCCGCTTCTCTCCCGGCGAGAGAGACACGAGTGGCCAGGCCCAGCCGCAGCCGCAGCAGCAGCCGCCGCGGCGGCACGGAGGAGCCAGACACAAAGAGAGGTACGGGGATCCCCCCGCCGCCCGCCGCCCCCCGGCCGTGCCGCCGGGCCTCGGGGACACCCCTCGCCGCCTCCCCCCGACCCGCGCTGCCCGGGCCGCCGGGCACGGCGCTGAGGGGGGGCGCGGAGAGGGGCCGGGGAGCCCCAGGGGTTGGGGCCGCCCGCGGGGGATGGGCAGGGACCCCGGGCCGCGTGGGGTGCGGGGGCCGCCCGCGTCGGGGCCCCGGGGGGCATTGTGGCTCGAACTGTCAGCGCTGTGCGGAGAGCCCCCCACTGGCCGCCTAGGGGGCCGGGAGCGGGGGAGGGGGAGTTGGGGGGAGCCGGGTTCCCCCCCTCAGGCGGGGGCCCGCGGGGATTAACCCCTCCGGGGCCGACGGGCTCATTGTTATTCCTTCGCTGGCAAGGCCGAGCACCTCTCCGCCCCCCCTTCCCGCGTCCCCCATTAGGGGTGGCGATCGGGCGGGTGCTCGGGACCTCCGCCCCCGCCGCGCGGCCGGGCGCCCGGGCGGCCCTGGGACAGGCCGGCCGGGAGGGGCGTCGGGCCTCGTCGCCCCTGCCCCCCCACCCCGGCCTCTCCCTTCCCCCACCCGGCACCCGCTCCCCGCCTCCGTCCCCCCGTTTTGGCTTCCTCTCTTACTCCTCCTCGCTCCCCGACCTCGTCAAACTCCGCTCCTGACCCCCGCGGTCTTGCTCTGCCACCGGCCCCCCAAGACCCCCGGAAAGCCGAGAAAAACAGCCCCGAGGCCCGTCGGCCGCCGGGACCTTCCCTCCCGGCCCCGCCGAGGCGCCCCGCGCCCCCGCCCTGCCCTGCTCCTCCGCCTGCTCGCCTTCTCCCCTCCCTGCCCGGAGGGGAGCCCCGGGGGGCGAGGGAGGGGCGACTTGCTTTTGCTCCTGACGGTTTTGCGTCCCCCCCCACCCCCTTGGGGCCAGAAATAAACCGCGTCCCATTTGCAAAGACCTTAGTGGGCCCGAAGACTTGGAAAAGCAAGTGGAGGGCGGTGGGCGGCAGGGTGCACCCCCTGTCCACAGTTCTCCTGACAGCACCCGAGTTCCCTATTTACGCGCGCTGCATGGTTTGCGTTTTTCTGTTTTGTTTCCCTCTCGCTGCAGGGGCTGTTTGCGGGGTGGGGTGGGGGGTTCGCTATGTCGGATGACGATTCGAGGGCCAGCACCAGCTCCTCCTCATCATCGTCCTCAAACCAGCAAACCGAGAAGGAAACAAACACCCCCAAGAAGAAGGAGAGTAAAGTCAGCATGAGCAAAAACTCCAAACTCCTCTCCACCAGCGCCAAGAGGTACTCTACTCCTCCCCTCCCCCCCAGGCTTCCTATTTTCCGAACCTCCTCTTGCTGTATTTGGTCTGCTTCGCTATAAGGGTAGCTTCAATGCTCCTCGTGGCTTATATGTTCTTAAAAATGAAAAAAGAGCCTTGGCAGCCCTAATTATTTTCTCCTTTGCCTCTTCTGTTTTTCTTCTTAATCATTGTCCACATGCAGCTGTTGTGGCTTGCCTCTTCCATTTCTTACCAAAGTTTATAAGAATCTTCGTTACTTTCATTAGTGACCCTCAAATCTGATTTCAAATTACTTGGCCTAGTAATTACTCACCTGACCCTCCTCAAGACTGCCATCCCACTAAATTACTAATACCTGCGCAGACAGTTCTAGCAAAAGGAGTTCTATTACCATCTTAGTTCTTCTCACCTGTTGCATATGTGAACTAATCTAACTAGTGGCTCTTTTTCTTTGCTCCTTTCCTCTCCTGTCGTGGTGTCAAAGCTACGATTTACAGACATTGTCCTTCAGGAATATCTTCTGAGCCCCATGACCCTTCAAAAGATCTAGAATAGATTCCTGGAACCCCCATGCCATTTTTAAATCCCTCTGCTCTCAGGTGGACAGTCCTTAAACGTTAAAGTGGCAAACCAGAAAAATAGTAAGGCGTCTGGATGGTGGGTTGGATAGGAGTGTCTTTCTAAAAAGTTAAAAAAAAAAAAAAGATCCGAGGCTCTGGTTTCTCCAATGAGTTGAGTGAGCTGGAACATGGGGTTTGAGTTTATTCTGTCATCCTTCCTGACTTGAAATTTGAAAAGTTGTCAGATGCTTGGGTGACCTAAGCATGGACTGATGGAGCTAATTTAACTTATTTTAAGTAGTGTGGCAGTCTAGACTTCTGTGGCAAGATTGTTCTCATTTTCAGAGAGTTGATTTGACTACATCCCAGCTTCCTGAGAGTTCTAATTGGCCCTCATTGATTAGCGCTGTGCTGGTTCTCCCAGGCCTGCCCTCTTCCTGGCCCACTTTGGAACTTACCCTGACTTGACCAAGATAGGATATTTGCTTTAGGCCGTTGGCATTTTTATATGTTGCCAGTGATCCATGGTGTACATGAATATATTTGGGGTAAAGGCACAGATACCAAATATAAAATAGTCAGCTTTGTGTCGCTAAATTACATGAAGGTGGTGGTTTCATTAGATAGTCTGTCCATTTGCGCAAAGGGAGTTAAAAACTTGTTTGGAAATGTTTGGGAAATGGTGGTCATAAGAAAAGTGAAAGGCGGAAGCTACAACTAGTAATTTTACCTATAAGGTGAACATCAGTTCTAGCTTCCTGGATATCTTACAGGGAAAAGTGTCGCTGGAAAAACAGCTAAAGTTTTTAGTGAAAGTAAAAATGGAAGAGGGATGGTGTAACTAGGTAAGCATGAGGTGGACATTTGCATTAGTGGAACTCTGCAAAAGCTGCTGTGTGAAATAGTTTGGTTTGGGAGGCACGTGTTTCCCATAGAATTTGCAAGGGGGAGCCTATTGCAGCATATAGAGTGAAAAAGAAGCCTGAATTGGCCGTAAGAGGTTACTTAACTGCATATTGGAAAGTGGTTTCTAGACTAGAAGAAAGTCCCGGTTGAGAGTGTTCTGGACAAGATTTACTCTGTGGAGCATACGAATGTGTTACTGTCGCAGATCTTCATGCCATTATCCTGGAAATGGTGCAAATGTTTGTTGTAGAGGTGAAGTGGATAAAGCTGTCTGGTATTACTCTTTTTAGGTATTAAAGAAACAACTCTCTTTAGTATTTTATAGTAGAGGTGGGGTTGCAAGGAGAAGTGAAGTCAATAACTATTTTTATACAAGAAGTCTCAGGGAGGGAGTATTTTTGCTTTATGTCCATAGGCTTTAATAGGTGTAGGTAAAGAATCAGGAAACCAGGGTTCCAAGTCAGGAAGCCGGTGTTCCGAACTTTTTAGTCAAACAGCCGGGATGTGAATGTCTCAGAACTGAAATGCTTGTTGGTAGCAATAGAATTTAGCAAGACATAGATAACTAGATGTCAGTATGGACTGTGCGCAAACCCCAGCTCTAAAGTTGACCAGATTTGTAGGTCCAATAGGAAGGTTTAAAGAACTTCCCCAGTCACCACCCTTCATTTCTCTTTACTTACACGTGGGAAAACAATGCCTTTCAAATCCTATTCCCCATCACATCCAGCCACCTCAATTTCTACCCTTAGAAAACCTTTGCAAAGAGAAAAGAATCCATTGTGATTCTGATTGCCGCGTGTGTGCGTGTGCGTGTGTGTATGTGTGTGTGTCTTTTACAATTGCGCTGCCTTCACGAGATTTTTACGTTGTACAATAACCCATTAGGGTTTTCAATGATAGGAGCAGGAAAGGTGGTAAGAATAGCAGGCATCGCTTGGAAGGTGGAAGAGGCGTAAAAGCCTCAAACTTTGTCGTTGTAATTGATGCTGCGAGCGCCTAGGTAAGCAGAGACAAAGGCCAGGCTTTGGTGTGAACTGCCTGGTGGCGTCGGCCTGCGAGTGGGGGATGGGGTTCTTTGTGAAGTCCAGGGTGGGTGCGGAGAGGGAAAAGTGGAGGGCCCGGGGCTGGTGTCCAGTGTGGGGTGACGGGCCGGGCTGGCCCCGGGCGGGGAGGCCGGGCCAGGGGCCCGCGCGCGAGCCGGGTGGGCTGCACCTGTGCGCCCGCGGGCCGGCTGCCCGGGGCCCGCCGGGCTGGGGCGGCGCGGTTCGCGGCCCGGACCCCGCGCGCGGCGTCGGGGCTGGAGGTTCCGGGGCGCGGCGGAGGCGAGCGGGGGAGTCGCCGAGCGACCCGGCGCGGGCCCTCCCCACCCCCAGCCCGCAACTTCGCCCGCGCCGCCGGCGTGCGCGGCCCGAACCGTCGGGCGCGCGCGGGGGGGGGGGGCGGGGAGCGCGGGCGGCGGCGGCCCCACGGCGCCCGGGACCGCGGGCGGGTCACTGCGGGCCGAGGGCCCTCGCGGGGAGCGGCCATGTTGGCTTCGTCACCGGGGACGCGGGGCGGCCTGGGGGGGCGCCCTACCGGGCGCGGGCGGGAGGGCGGCCGAGCGGCCGGGGTGACCCCGGCGGCCGACACGGCGGCGTCCTTCCACCCACCCGAGGGCTGGGCTCGCTCCGTCCCGCGGGGAGGAGGCGGGGACGGTGAGTGTGCCCCGACACATCCCGGTGAGATTCAGAAGCTGGTCCGCCGGGGAGAAGCCGAGGAAGGCCTCCCTCAGCGCGGGCGGCCGGGAGCGGGACCTGCCTGTGGGGTGCGGGCCGGCGGGCGCGAGCGAGACCCGGGCCCGCCTCAGCCGCGGGACGAAAGGTGTTTTCTTAAACGACGGCCTCGCCCCGAGCCGTGGGTGCAGCTTCCCCCCCTGCGCAGCACCCAGGTGTCGCGGCGGGCGTTGGGGTGTCGGCCAGGTGGAGCCTTCCGACGCCTGACGCGCGCGTTTGTCTCTCTCCCGCCTCCAGGATTCAGAAGGAGCTGGCGGACATCACTTTAGACCCTCCACCTAACTGCAGGTGAGCTGCTTCTCCGGTGTTGTACGCATTTCAGGTTCTTCCAACCCTGGTGTTGGGTTTTTTTCTTTTTATTATTGTTTCAGTCTGCTTTATATTTGCTGAATGTTTGTTTTGGTGCTTCACATCCAAAGCCAGGTGAGGGCTGTTAACCTGAGTATTGATGATCTGACAAGCTCAGTCTGTGTTGCAGAGAAGTAATGGATTTATTTGAACACTTTTTTAATATCTAAAACAAAACTAAAAAGAATTGGAGGATGTATGGTTGCGTCATTGTGAAGTTTGGTATGTCATTAAGGTTGATGTAAAATCTTGTAGATGTTCAGGACATTTTGGTTGGAAAATTGCTTTGCTCTGGTTACTTAGCGAATTGAGCGCAGCCTGAAGTCAAACTCGGGATCCTCAAATTTGTATATAAATTGTGTGTTGGACTTTTGGCAGACCAAGTCAAGAAATGAATTGTGGCTTCAATAAAAAGGTTTTGCTTTAATTATTTGACAAATTTAAACTCTTCCATTGGGTGTTTTTCTTCACAATTGCTTTACTTGGACGACATGCATGTGTTTAAAATGCAAGACAATTTAATAGGAACTTTTGAAGGTTTTCTTGGTGAGTTGATGTTATTTCAAATAGCCATTTTGCTATTGTTGAATCATGGTGAAAGACTTGATGACTTTAATCAACAGTGCAGTGAAAGGACTTGTTAATCTTCAGCCTTTTATTGGGGGGGGGGAGCTCTTCTATTCTGTTACTCTTGTAGTTAAAAAATTAAGTATAACATTTAACCTAATTCCCGTGCCTCAGAATTGGCATTGGAAGGGGATGCGAAATTTCAGAGGTGTTCTGAACTTACAGGTAGGAGTAGAAGTTGACAAGAAAATATTCATTGGTCATCCACAGAACTTAGATGTGGAAATGTTCAGGTTTAAAAAGTTCAATGAAATGCTTTGCTTTCTGAGCTTTAGTTTCTAAATACATGCTTTCTAAACTATCGTTGATGGGTTAAATAGAAATGTTAATCATTCCATTTTGGTTACATGTGTTGTTAATGTTGGTCAGGTGTGGGGTGTTTGGCAAAATTTTCTCCTGTTTTATAAGGAAAGTCATTTTGAATTTGAAACGCTCTTAATAATTCTTGAGGACTTTTTATGGCTATGAAGAATCTTTTCAGCCTGTTGAGAAAGTGGAGAAATAGGTAAACTTAGGCTTAAGGCTGTGATCTTTTTTTTTTTAATTGGAGTTGTCAGATGGAAGCCTGCTGCTTTTTTTGGTTGGTTGTGTTGGGGGGGGGGGGTGCGTTCCTTACGGCAGATCTGTGCTGTGCAGTTACTGCTCTTAGGTGTCGTATCTCAGCCATGTGTATCTTGTGAGTTCAGACAGCTTTAGCTAATCAAATTACTACATTTTTAAAGTATGGCTTCAAAACTATCAATGTTTATCAAAACATGACAGCCTTCTTTCACGTAAGCACAAAAATTTAAAAATGCAAACACTTTCAAGGTTTTTATGGGATTAATCATTTAAAAATTGGATAAGTACACTTTGGTTTCACACGATTTTGCTGAGTTCATGTGTGAGACATTTGTGCTGCTGAACTTGTAGAATGATTTATCCTTGAAAAACCCTTCCTAATTATCCCTTCAAGGTGAAATCTTGAAGCAGGTGAAGCATCAAACTAAATGACTCTAGGGTGTTTAGTGATGGGGAGACAAACTTTGACCTACTTAAATATTTAGGAAAAAGTGTCTTTCCTAAAGACACTTTCAGACCAAAAAGAAAAAGAAAAAAAGCCAGGCATCTTTATTTGGTAAGAAAATGTATACTATCTTGACTTTTAAAAAGAAAAACTGCTTTATTTTCTGAAAACATTTTCCTGTGGGATTGCTTAATATGAGTTTCAGTTTCTACTTTTGGTTGACTTAACTAGTGTTACTGTCTTAATGTTATATGGCAATCTGATAGTCAATTGAAATGAATGTGGTTTTGTGTTGGTATCTTATGGGTTTGAATTTAGTTTTTAATGTACTTTATTGTTGGAGATGGAAATGGATAATTCAGTTTGGACTACTTTTTGACATTTGCTTTCAATTAAAATGTATTAATTAAAAGATAGTGAATATAAATGTTTATTTTTAATTTTTTTAATGTTAGAGTTTGATAGTTTGGTTTTCATGAAACTGATTTCACCACCTAATATTATATTTTGAGCAAGTTATATAATTGGCTTTTAGTTAACATGTCTTGGTTATTAACTATCATCGGACCGCCTATAATTAATATATTCAGTATATAGTTTTAAATTTAAACCCATTACTTTATAAAAATATAGTAGTTGGCACATAATAACCTCTCAATAAACAGTTGATTATTGCAAATCAGTGGGAGAAATTTCTTCTCTTGAAGGTACACAGCTTGTGTTTGCTAATTTTAGCACTTGTCAAAAATATTTGGATTGGAAATTACTGAGCTTCAAAACTTGTGTGAAATGCAGTTGCTAAATATGTTATAGTGTATGAGCACATAAAGTTAAACCCTCAATGTTTATTATGTTATTTTTTTTTTTTGGGAACAAAATACAAATTATATTCAATGACCACATCAAAAATATTTTAGGTGAACATTTTAAAATTGCTTTATATACCATATAAACCAAATTCTTCGGTATCTTTCAACTACTTGTGTGTACACACACACAGATGAAATAGTCTCCCAACTTAATATACTTTGCATTTACTTAGACTTTTTCCTGTGCATCTTGACTCAAAAAATACTACCTTCACTACTGTGATGGTTTCCTGAAGCCCTATCTTAGATTGTAAAATTATGCCTTATAGATAGCTGGTGAACCCTGGGCCACTAAGAGTGAGTTTTGCAGCTGTTATTTATAGCCTAGGGCTCAAGTTTTACTAAATTGACTTGTTATAGCTATATAACTAATCTGTTGACATAAAATGTCTGTAGACAGTATATGACGTATTTTTCCCAAGAGTTTCAAACTTCAGGTTTTACTTAATGGATATGTTTGTATTATGAGTAAACCACTCATGTAGTGACTGAAAATCTAAAAATTCAGATTCTTGGAAGGCTGCTATTTGGGCAGCCTTTGAGAAGTTGTTAAACATTTCAGGTATGGTAGAGAGTAATAAAAATACTTTTATTTGACTTTATTACATTTTCACCCTTATTTTTGTTTCCTAAATATGCAAACCTAAATCAATGCTTTTAATTTTTCTGAGAGAACTCTTAGTAATTGAATAAGTTGGCTTTGAAGTTTTACAGTTAAGTCATTTCTTTTTTTGAATGATCTAAAGGTTAAAGTGAATAGTGTTTTTGTTTTTGTTTTTTTTTTTTAATATAATGCAGTTGTTTAAGAAGTTAAATTCTCTCAACCTTCTTTTCCTCATTTATTAAAAGGGTCCAATACCTCACTGGTCTACTTCATGTGGTAAAGTCCAAGTGAGACTAGAGTTTTCAGTATGTGTAAGATGGTGGTATTTAGTTAAATTTTCCATTTAGCTCCTTTTAATAGCTCATCTTTTTTTGTTTTTAACCATCACTGCCTTTTATTGTTTGTTTCTTTAAATACAATTTTAAGTCATTACACAATAATACAGGAATGCATGTTTTTGAAAAGTTGAACTGCAAAGATGGTGGAGTAAAAAGTGAAACATCCCCCCTCACGACCTCTTCTGATCCTGCCCCTTTCAGAAAGATTCTGCAAGCTTAATTCTTTGTGTGTATCCTTCCAGATATTCCCTGTGAATTTGCATTGCTGTCTTTTTCTAGCTTTACAAATTTTCCTGGAATTGGTGATAATAGTCAATTTAGGAGTTCCTGTCTGCTAACCTTAAAATGAAGAGATTCTTTCTGTGGAACAGTAAAGGCTTATACATCTCTTGCAAGTCTAGCATTGTTTAAAGATTTATTTATGCATACAAGAACTGGGGTATTGGCCAGAGGTACCAGGGGTCGGGGTATGTGTGTGGGGTGTGGGTTTGGTGAGAGGACCAATCAGAGATAGAATGGGGAACAGAAGAGTCAGATTGACTGATATACGCTGCTGAGGGGAGCAGTGGGTGAGACAGGAGAGGTCTGCTGTGCCATGTGGGTGAGCTCCCTGTCTGGCGATCAAACTCATGCTGCAGTGGCTGCGGATAGTTTCATAGTGCTGAGACTTAACCCCTTACGCCACCAGGGAGGCCCCAAGCCTAGCATGTTTTAAATGGTTGTTCAGTTATAAGAAATAGGTTCAAAAGAAGTCATTTGCAGAATCCTGAATCATCTCACTTGATGAAAAATACCCTTCCATTTATGTATCTTTCATTCATCTGATGTTACTAAATGCACTAAGAATATAACTGCCATCACCCTCTGAATGATGTTTAACTTCATTACTATTTTCATTTGGAGAGTTACCACTGCAGTGTGCCTGCCTTTTTGTGAATATAAGTAGTGTCGCAAAATAATGAGAACTAGGAAACTGGAGTCAACACAGTCAAAATAGCACCCAAACCAGGGTCAAGTTCCTGGAAATAAGATCAGCATCTGGGGCTTGGCTGGTTAGAAAGTAAGGAAGTCTATCCAGAAAGTACTTACTAGATGAGTAGAATCTCTTGAGGCTTTTGTGTTTACCAAAAGACCATGTATCTGGATTGTAAAACTGTACCACTGCTGTTCAAAAAGCTTAACAGAATTACTGTAGGACCCAGGGATTCCTTTCACTCTAAGGTATATAACCAAATGGATTGAAAACAGGAACTCAAACAGATACTTGCCAGTGTTCATAGCAGTAATATTAATAAGTCAAAAAGTGGAAACAATTCAAGTGTTAATCAGCAGATGAGTGGATAAACGTAATGCAATAAATGAATGCAATAGAGTGTTTTTCAGCTATTTAAAGGAGTGAAGTTCTGATACTTGCTACAACATGGATGAACCTTGGAAATGTCACACTTCAGGTGTCATCTCCAAAAAATTTTTCCAAGACCTATGTCAGGATGCTT